TCAAGAAAGGACTTTCATAGTAAAGACTCTCTATATATCCTTAGTAAAAGTATTTAAAAATAATAAGATGTCCTGACAGTCCTCCCCTTTAACTTTTGGCATGTTACACAGGTATAAGTATTCCTTTCGTTGGTTAAGCATTATGATCTCAGTCACTTGCTTGTAAATTTTCCACATCTCTATCATAGTATTCTCTCTTCCCCAAACTAGTATTTAGGGGTCACAAATGATCTTGACATTTAAGGGCTTGTTCCCACTATCATGATTTCTATCATAAATATTGACTGCCAGCGGAAATACATATCATCATATCATGATCTGAGAAACATGTTATTTATAAAGTTTTCCCAACAAATCTATAACTTGCCCTAGTCTTGAATTAACATCAAGTATTCCCTTACCTTGTAGTTTGGATAACAGTTGATTAGCACTCTGCCAAAAAATGGACCTATTATACAAAAGATCGGATGATGGATCACTTATATTTGAAACATGTTAACAACCTTCTGAAGGAATAAATCTTGAATTGGAGAGAACCTAAACCTGTCACTCTAGGAACCTTATTATACATGAAGTATTTTTTAATTATATAGAAGATAATTCAGTAATCCTACTATATTGTTTCCTAACACCACTCAATTATATACAATACTAGCTTTAGTTTATTGATCCTAATCAGTCTCCAAGTATCTGGATGTGATTCTTGACCTCAAACATAAAACAATTCAAACTCTCTATCAAAATAAACAGACAGTGAATCCACCAAAGGGTCAGTACTAGATGAAACCTAGAGAGCCTTTATATTTACGACAGATCTAGGAATTCTGATAATTGTTCCTTGTAAGTCAGCAATGATAATCATACATCTAAATCTAATCTTATTCACAATCTGACAAAATCATTCATGTTGGAAAAATCTGTATTTTTCCAAAGGCACTAGAAACTAATAATTGGACAATAATTTGGATTATATCACTTTCTCTGTATCTATCTGGCAGTAATTCCATGGCTGGTAAGACATCTAATGCATATGTATGTATCCGCTCTTCGATGAAAAAGAAATCAATGTTATATTCCTTAAATAAGCTCACCCCTTAATTTTTTATGTTGATGCCTGGGCTTATTGAAGGATAAATTTATATAATTTTACAACACAATCATTACCTATTGTATCACCAGTGATGGACTAAAATCAAACCCAAGAAAAACAACTATATTCTTTACCTTGGCCTGAAAATTTAGCTATGGAAATGAAGGCTTGAGAGATTTTGTCTGATAATTGGATTTTTCATGATTACATTTTACTGCCGAGACCAGACATTATGGTAATTGGAAACTGACCATCGGTCATCCAAGGATCACTAATCTGTTTGTCACATCCTCAATGAAATAATTTGTATTACAGCTGACATCAGCAGTATAGCTGTAATGCATAATGACACAGGAATCAAACTGAGAGAATCGAAGTATGCGATAGACCTGTAGTCCTAATTCAATCAATTTTGTGGTCGTGACTAAGAAATAGTGAGACTGTAATATAGATTTGCAGTTAATACCATGCATTAAAATGTATTTTCTACAATCCTAGGGACACAGGGAGCCCTCATTTTAAATCTATATATAGCTTGCATCTGCACCTGCATTGTGTACGGTTACCAGATACATGCTTAGTGGAGAGTATAACCAGAATAGCTCCCCCTTCCTTCCCCTCCACCTCCCCCAACCAGAACTCTTCCTACCCTTTCTTCCCTCCCTTCCCCTACCCCCAACCTCCCAGTATAACTATCTGTCATTCTTTCATTCCTTCCTTCATTGTCTTTTCTTTCCTTTTCCAGTATTTACATCTCTCGTTAGTTTAGATGTTTGTCATCATGTGTTATCTGTGGTATTGTATGTTGTATTGTCAGGGAGGGACTAGCAAGTTGTAAGAACATGTGCCCAATCCATTTCATTGGGGTTTTTTTCAATAAAATATGTTTGAATGAAGTGCTTATATGGAATAAAATATCTTGTGAAGAACAAAAAAGAAAAATTTCTGGTTTTGAAGAATCACCAACTTGATGAAGCATGAAACTAAACATTTATTTGTTTAGAGTAAATAAGTATAATTAAAAGAATTTGTTGACATGTTATTTGATGGTGATAATACTGAAACAAAGGCCATACACTTTATCATTTTGGGTTAAAACATGATAAGAATGTCATAAATTATAAATATTCACATTTATAGATAGAAAAGTATAAAGAACCCTTATCCAGTCCAGGTGTTTCTAGAAAACCTTGTTTCCTGTTCTCACCCCAAACTTAATGTATATAAACAATTACATCTACGATATCTGAATAATATAAATAGATCCCACATAGTTCATCTAAACCAACCCTGAATTATCTTTACATCTGAACAACAGATCCAGGGTGCAAAGCCATAAAGTTTCATTAAAAATCTTGTTAAAATAATAGGCCGTCCCGTGGGAAAGTAGACTTAGAGCATTCAATTAAACAATGTGCATCTGGTAGTCTACTGCACATGGTCGTTTAGAAGTAATCAAACCTCATTAGCTTGGGAAACGCCAAGTAAAAGTTTTACTCTCATTTTCCTGTTTGAAGAAAGAAGATTATTTTTGTGTTATCCACACTAAGACATATAGACAAACGTTATGTACTGATCAGTAAATTCATAGGGCATCCATATCTGTAATAATGGAGATCATATACATAGTACATATTCATATGTTGTATTATATGGTTATCATTAATATCGAGGTGGATGCCCAAAGTATAATAACTGATCACTTATACTTCTGAAATTTCACATAGCAAACATTTTCCTTCAGTTTCAATATTTTTGAAAATATTTAATATACTTTGATGTATTTTATTTAATTCAATCCTGCAGCTCAGTACAGCAGGTCCCAAATGTTATGGCGTTATCCCAGTTTTAGTTAAACTTTATAATGGGCCAAGTACATGCAGTGTTAGACCATTACTATTGGACAGAGATGGTTGTGGCACATCTGGGATATTTTCTGGATTGTTCTGTAATTATCTCACCACTGGTACAGTGTAAAGAGCTCTGTAAACAGATGCTGAGAATCTGAAATTATCCTAGATAGTATGAGCATGTGTATCTAGTCATACCTCTTTGGGTATTTAACATCTCATAAACATCCGACTTTGACAGGTCCCATCACACCTCATTGTAACAATGTAATTACACTACACATCCAATTACACGATAATGATGTATATGAGTGTCTGATATATCTGTCCATCACATCCTACAGGTGAAAATTAACAGGTGCTTAATTCTGTAACATTTCTATCATTGATTGTAGATCTGATACACAAATTTAAATAATTCAAATTTTCACAGTAACACTTTGTTAATTACAAAAAGCTAGCTGAGACCTTACATAAATATCATAAAGAAAAGGGAACTAAACATATACATTGATATATATGTACATAATTATCACAATGACAAAAAGGAATTGTTTGAATTCAAACTGAAAAAAAAAGAAAAATTCCTACAAAATCACTGTTTAACTATTAATGCAATATGCTTCGTAAGTCAAGATGTATCACCTATTCAGAGGTATTTTAAATCACAGATTTTATATCACATACTGTACAGGTTATACATCACTGTGTCCTTGTTTATCTACACACATACAGATCTATAATGACCTCCTTCCTGTTTTAGAGATATCACTACACTGACAGCTTCAGACAGATGCATCCAATTAAAATGACATGTTTGTTCTGCAGATACGTATATTCCCATGTATATATACAAGCAGAAAGCACATCTGCAATCAAGATATTGGGTTAATAGATGTTTACTTAACTCAATGACCCAAATTAAATTTTATCTTCACTATTTAAAATTGAAAACTAGAAAAGAAGAAATAAATCATACAGCGTGTATAGATAGAGTAATTCACATTTCAAAAAACATTTTTTTTTAAATATCTCTGTGTGGCTTTCCACTTCCAATGCATTAAATTTGTTAATCAGGGACTGAACTGAGATGTAAAGCTATATATATATATACATATATGTTTCCTTTAAAGTCACATGTTTATTGATTACTGAGGTTTAACTCACATTAACACAAGCAACCTTTCACTTCACTTTAATCAAATTTTGATATCCAATGGAACATGGATAATCTAACATTTTTTTATAAAGGAGTCATCAACATGATAATACACTGTATCTTAAATCAAGTAAAGTAAAAGTGAAGCAGCTGTGACCATTAACATTTCTAATTTACAAACTTCATTAAAATGCTTCTTTGTAATCTAGACATTGCTATAAAGTTGTTATAATAATTCTAGCTTTGCTGCTTGGAGAAAGTTATATATTTTGGCATTTTCATTGACACACAAGCTGCCATTCATCAATGCACATACCTATAATTATAATGTGAAACTGATGCTGCCTTTTTTTAATATAACAAATTATGGTGCCTGTCATTTTTCTCATTACTGTATCTCAAAGTACCTTCCAAATAATGTATGTTAAGTTTAGTTATCATCAACTGAGATATTCTAAATTGGGCTAAATAATCATATCATATGCTTTCCCAGATATTAAATCAATTAAAAAAACTAATTCCGCAAAAATTGGAACAATTCTTTGAAATGAGTTATTCTTCTCTTCCTGGAGTGTTATCAAGACACCTGCCTGGTAATATGATAGATAGTTGAACTACGTGCACTTCAGTACATAGGCCTATATGTACACACATGGGTACAACATGTATTAAACGGGCACCTGTTCATAATTAAGGTTCAACTGTAATAAGTTTATTTCTCTCAGTGTTGATGTTTATGAGTTGTGTATTTGCCGAATAAACAAGCGGTAAAATAAATCTTCTGATACAATCGATGTGTCCATTACATTTTTATGACTGACCACCGTTAATCTAGGTCTGACCCTTCAGTGTATATATAAACAACCAGGTACCGTTAGTGTATATAATCCTTTTAACTTACCGCGAGTCCAAGTAACGAAGGGTCCACTCAAGGCATTCTCCCTCAATTTCATCGATTAGCAAACGGTGATTGAACAGACGGATAGGGAGATCTTCACTTTCATCTTCATCCGCAACAGTTTGACAGAATTTATCCAAGAAACGCTGAAAGGAATCTAAGTCATTTCCTCGCTCCATCCTTCGGTGTTGTCACGCCATCGATGGCTTTTATACAGCTTTGTGCACACAAACTGGTGACGTCAGTATATTTTGTTTACAAGTTTGACATTTTGGAGGGATTTTTGCACGCATGATGTAAAGCCTCGCTGAAAGGAATGGAACTGAAATGGATTGATATCAAGTTTATGATTGGCAAGACGTGACAACAAAGAAAGTATGGTTTGGATAATGATCACACACAATCCTATTTTCCGTGATAAGCTGAATTTACGCTCAGTTGAATTTGGGATTGCTCTTGTTTTATGTCGGACGTTTGACAGAATGGACATTGTCAAACGTCCGATATAAATGAGTCCCAAGAAGCAAGCCCAAATGGGATTACCCAAGACCTACATTAAAACACAGCAGTTGTTACAGTGATAACATATCATAGTTTACGAGATAATTGTCTATGATAATGTTACAGCAGAATAACAATTAGGTATAATCTGGACATCGGCTCGGGACCGTTATGTATTTCGGAACGGCCAATTTGTCTAGCCGTATTACATAAACTATTGACTTTCGTGACCTTGCAGCCGGATAATTTTGATTGTTGTGACATGTCACGCTTTCAGAAAGAATAAAAAAAATTGTATTTAAATCACGCACCATAAAATATTATGTATATATATTTCCTTGGCAAATTAGTGTTTTTTCTTAATACACATTTTTACATGTAAAACATCCTCCCAGATATGGTGAAATAATCTATCAATTCATCCTCTGATGCTAATGTCTCGTTGTCATCAGTCATGTGACTAAAATCAACTAAGGATTAAAAAAAACATGCCTTTTCACAATTTTTGGACTACAGATTTCCATACTTGCACATCTTATATTAAAAAATTATGATTTATAAATTATCACTTTTTAGACTCATGTCTGATTTTATTAAACTAGGAAGAAACATTTCAAGTCATTTATGTATTTGTTTGGTGGCAGTTCATCAACATAGCGTAGCTAGCAAAAAAACCATTCGTAAGGGGTCTGAAACTAATGCACTAAGGATACAATACTAGTTTCATACATGATTTAGCTGAGCAAGCTGTATCCCTTATTCAGTAATATGCCCCTTAATCAGGGTAGAATCCTTCTTGTTGTCAGTACACAGGTGTAATAGTTAGAATAAAGAAAAACACCCTGGTGGGATTCAAACTAGTGACCCTTTGTTCTCTAGCCAAACACTACTGCTTGACTAAAGGGAAATTCGCACACGGCTAGTAAGGTGACTTGTACTCTGCAAATTGTGCTTCTACACTATTCCCTCCTTCACAAAATCTTCAACCCCAAAGACAACAACATCCCAGGTTCAGTGTCTCCTAGGAAGCATCACAATCTCCTATAGCTTCTAACCTTAAAGTGGTCAATGGCATAAAATCTGTCATAGGAAGGAGTTATGAACAAAAACTGCCAACACTGAGGTTCAAACTAGCGACACTTCAGTCTTTAGCTGCAGTAAGCCAACACTGGGGTTCAAACTAGCGACCCTTCAGTCTCTAGCTGCAGTAATCCAACACTGGGGTTCAAACTAGCGACCCTTCAGTCTCTAGCTGCAGTAAGCCAACACTGGGGTTCAAACTAGCGACCCTTCAGTCTAGCTGCAGTAAGGGGTTCAAACTAGCGACCCTTCAGTCTCTAGCCTGCAGTAAGCCAACACTGGGTTTCAAACTAGTGACCCTACAGTCTAGCTGCAGTAAGCCAACACTGGGGTTCAAACTAGCGACCCTTCAGTCTCTAGCTGCAGTAAGCCAACACTGGGATTCAAACTAGCGACCCTTCAGTCTCTAGCCTGCAGTAAGCCAACACTGGGTTTCCAACTAGTGACCCTACAGTCTAGCTGCAGTAAGCCAACACTGGGGTTCAAACTAGCGACACTTCAGTCTCAAGCTGCTGTAAGCCAACACTGGTGTTCAAACTAGTGACACTTCAGTCTTTAGCTGCAGTAAGCCAACACTGGGGTTCAAACTAGCGACCCTTCAGTCTCTAGCTGCAGTAAGCCAACACTGGGGTTCAAACTAGCGACACTTCAGTCTCTAGCTGCAGTAAGCCAACACTGGGGTTCAAACTAGCGACCCTTCTGTCTCTAACTGCAGTAAGCCAACACTGAGGTTCAAACTAGCGACCCTTCAGTCTCTAGCTGCAGTAAGCCAACACTGGGGTTCAAACTAGCGACCCTTCAGTCTCTAGCCTGCAGTAAGCCAACACTGGGGTTCAAACTAGCTACCCTTCAGTCTCTTAGCCTGCAGTAAGCCAACACTGGGGTTCAAACTAGTGACCCTTCAGTCTAGCTGCAGTAAGCCAACACTGGAGTTCAAACTAGCGACCCTTCAGTCTCTAGCTGCAATAATCTCTGCTCAACTAAAGAGAAATTCCCACAAGCAGAGGCTAATAAATTGACTTAACTTCTACATGTATTAATATTTGTATATACAAAACACCTTTTATGTTACAGTTAGATTAACTGTGTAACATTAATGCTTGCATTTTAGATAACTTTAATCACCAACACATCTAATTAAGTATGTTATGATCATGTTTATGTTATCTACATTCTGGAAAAAATTGGGGGAAGGATTGGTTATCTATACAAAAATGAAAAACCGCCTCATCAACTGAAGCAGTAGATGATGTATTATATATAATATTATATCTTACCATCTGATAAACTATGAAATGACAAAAATTACCTAAATTATGAACATTTCCTGTCAGAACTTAATGAGATTCTATTAAAAGCTGTAACTCATAGATATACAATATATAGTGTTGTATGTAATACAATTTTAAAGTTATAATCTTACCAAAACTTTTATGAGTCGTTTAATTTTTTATTTGCAGACATGAAATGAACCAACTGTGGTACATGTAGCCAATAATACTATCATGCAGATGCAGAGGGAATTGAGTAGCTTTCCACTAGCTCCTGTCCATAAAACAAAACTGGTTACTGCCGGATTTGTCATTGTTGAGGATTTGAAAGGCATGAAGCCATCTGAACTTAGCAAAGGTGAATAAAAATTGTACATGTATGTTATCTAAATTTATGCTGACAATAGGAAATAAGTATATATATTATGCACAGTATAAAATCTAAGCTGGAATAAATGTTGACTGATGACATGTAAAGTTTTCAGGTATGAAAGCAAACGGAGAAAAAAGTTAGAATTAACATGAATAATAATTGTGGAATGTAGGTCGAGAGTGAAGACAACACGAACATCTCCTTCCCAATTCAGGATTTATTTGTGCATCATTCATGAATAATAATATTTATTCAAATTCCAACAATTATCAGCCAAAACTTTATATATGTATATATTTATTTTCTTTTTTCAGAGACAAGCATTGGTTTGGAAGAATCATTGGATATTCTAAAACTGGTGCTGGGAACAGATGAGAAGGGAGACAACTCAAATCATGTGGGCAAATCAGCACTAGACATACTAAAGCAAGAACAGTTACTTCCCCACATTGTGACATTTTCAGAACAGCTAGACAACATGCTGGGAGGTGGAGTCCCTCTATGTAAGATCACCGAGTTCTGTGGTGCTCCAGGCACAGGCAAAACTCAGATATGGTAACTATGAGATCTTACATCACCAAAAATAAATACATAAAGAAAAACATAAGATTGCTTCTTGAATGAAATTGATTTAATTTGATGTCTTATTCTTTTTCTTTTCCTACTGATCTAGGATTTTATGTATTTTTTCTTTAGAATCATTTTAGGTTGACTAGGATTGTCTATAGATATCTTCATCGTTACCTTACACGTCATTTTACATTCCCAATGTAAGAGTAGAATTATTTCTGTTATACATCACCAGCATGCAGCTGGCTGTTGATGCACAGATCCCCGAGTGTCTAGGAGGCCTAGAGGCTGAAGTGATCTATATAGACACGGAGGGCAGCTTCATTGTCGAGCGCCTGGTAGACATTGTCACAGCATCAGTGGAGCACTGTAAACATATTGCAGGAGGTGATCAAGGTAACATTATTTGTACATTATAGGATACCCTATTGTTGCAACTTTATGAGACAAATAGAAATTTTTTTATACACCGCAGGAGGCGGTCGTATATTGGCGTCATCTTCTCCGTCCGTCTGTCCGTCCGTACGTCCATTTCTTGTGAACGCAACTCCTCTTAAAATAATCATCAGATTTTCATGAAACTTGCTCAATGTCACTACTACAATGGGTAGATGTGCATGAAGGGGCGGTTTTTTGGTTTGTTCATGTTTGTAAGATTTATGCCATTTTCCACTTTGTTTCTGTAGCTTGCTCAAAGTGGATCATTTTATTTTGTGGCAGCGTATATTGTGTCCATGGCACTCTTGTTATGATATAGAACTTTTAAGTAGTTACATGATTTGATATGCTAAAAGGATTCTGCAAGCTTTATGGGCTCTAGTTAATTAAACTTATTATTTTTAATTTTTTACAACATATTTACAGTAGATCATTTTTATGATATTACAATAGTTACTGATCTTTCTTTAAAGATTCTGAGGGTTTGCGAAGTTTCACTCCAGAGAATGTGTTGTCACGGATACATTACTACCGTTGTCATGACTACATAGAATTACTAGCTACAATTCATCTCCTACCTGATTTTGCCAAGCAACATCCAAAGGTTAGTTATGAGAGTTTAATTAGGACAGTAAATTAAAACTTTCACTTCACTCTACTCCAGATTTTTGTTTAGAGGTACATCACATAATTTAAGTAACTTGCATCAAAATCACTGACCTAGAAACTTAAATGTGGCGTGGATGAAATCGGGGGGTGTTAGTTTATATAGGAGTTCGGTGGTCAGGGAAACTTTCACTAGCATTTTGCTCCTATTGCTTTTTATTTGAATTACTAACATTACCAATCATCCTTCTGATTTTTATTTAATTACTAACATTACCAATCATCCTTCTGATTTTTATTTGAATTACTAACATTACCAATCATCCTTCTGATTTTTATTTGAATTACTAACATTACCAATCATCCTTCTGAATTACTAACATTACCAATCGTCCTTCTGATTTTTATTTAATTACTAACATTACCAATCATCCTTCTGATTTTTATTTAATTACTAACATTACCAATCATCCTTCTGATTTTTATTTAATTACTAACATTACCAATCATCCTTCTGATTTTTATTTAATTACTAACATTACCAATCATCCTTCTGATTTTTATTTAATTACTAACATACCAATATCCTTCCAATCATCCTTCTGATTTTTATTTAATTACTAACATTACCAATCATCCTTCTGATTTTTATTTAATTCTGATTTTTATTTAATTACTAACATTACCAATCATCCTTCTGATTTTTATTTAATTACTAACATTACCAATCACCCTTCTGATTTTTATTTAATTACTAACATTACCAATCACCCTTCTGATTTTTATTTAATTACTAACATTACCAATCATCCTTCTGATTTTTATTTAATTACTAACATTACCAATCATCCTTCTGATTTTTATTTAATTACTAACATTACCAATCATCCTTCTGATTTTTATTTAATTACTAACATTACCAATCATCCTTCTGATTTTTATTTAATTACTAACATTACCAATCATCCTTCTGATTTTGATTTTTATTTAATTACTAACATTACCAATCATCCTTCTAATTTTTATTTAATTACTAACATTACCAATCATCCTTCTGATTTTTATTTGAATTACTAACATTACCAATCATCCTTCTGATTTTTATTTAATTACTAACATTACCAATCATCCTTCTGATTTTTATTTAATTACTAACATTACCAATCATCCTTCTGATTTTTATTTAATTACTAACATTACCAATCATCCTTCTGATTTTTATTTCTTTTAAATAGGAATCAATGCACTGAGGATTAGTAAGAAAATGTAGTGATTTATTTCCATTGTAGGTTCGCCTCGTCATTGTAGATAGTGTGGCCTTTCATTTCCGCCATGACTTCGATGATATGTCACTGAGGACGCGCCTTTTAACATCCACTGCTCAAAATCTCATCAAGCTGGCAACCACCTACGAACTTGCGGTATTTTTATATGCTATGACTAATTAAGGATATCTCAATCCTTTTTCTGTGTCCCAAGCATTTGTGTGTCTAAGGGCCTCATAGAACGGTTCTATACTGCACTAATTAAGGATATCTCAATCCTTTTTCTGTGTCCCAAGCATTTGTGTGTCTAAGGGCCTCATAGAACGGTTCTATACTACAACTATTTCACTTCAGATGAAACATTGTATGGTTAGTGAAACACTTTATCTTGAAAGTAGATTTCAATAATTCACTATTACTTATATTCCAGCTCTCTGTTCAGTAAAAGAAAAAAAAATATGTTTTAATGTAGGATCATCAAATTTCCTATACAGACTGTAGGTAAGGAAAAACATAGCAAACAAATGGAAAAGGAGCATTTTTCTTACAGTAGTTCATGTAGGGTCATCAAATATCATATGTCAGAACTTGGACAATTCCACATTGTGTATATTTTTTAGCATGATTATGTGTAAAATATTGGGTTTTGTTATTCAAGGTCACATTATGTTAATTCTGTGACAGGTTGTTCTAACCAACCAGATGACTACTAAAGTGCGAGTTGGTGAAACATCACAACTGGTGCCAGCGTTAGGGGAGAGTTGGGGTCATGCCAGTACCATCAGGGTCATTTTGTACTGGGAACAACAGACGAGATATGCCTGGCTGTACAAGTCTCCATCACAAAGAGAGGCTAGAGTTCCATACCAAGTCACGGTAAATAACTCTTTATAAAGGTCGAAGTTGTCAAGGTTGTACTATAAAGGTCAAGATTGTACTAACTAGTATAAAGATCAAGGTTGTACTCCGTATTATAAACGTCAAGGTTGTACAAGGAGAAACACACTCCAAGTCTTTGTTACAGTAAAAGTCCTTTACCAAATCATGATAGATCATACTTTTGAATGTTCAGGATATAAAGTCTCTCTCAGATAGAGACTTGAGTACTAAGTCATGGTTAGCTACACATTGGTTTATAAAGATGAGATTAATACTGTATTGAGCAGGACCTTGACATTATGCTTCACTCTACAAATGTCTCTCCTCAATAGGAGACTAGAGTCTCAAAAGAGAAGAGACAGTCTCAAGTGATGGTTAATAACATTGAATATAAAGGTCAAGGTCACATTCTATAGGGGAGAGCAGTGTGCCTCTCTGGATGTCCCACTTATAGAGATTCCCTACCATGCTACACTTACATCAAGTTATAATGTTTACTTCCAGGCGTACTTGTTTCAGCATACTTCAAATGCAGAACATTACATATAACTGAGCATGTTTTACTAGTAACTTAGGTTATCTTTCTTTGTGGTGATCAGTCAATATTAACAGTTTCATCAGAGGCCCATCAGGGGAGGTTGGGGGAGACACACATTTTGTCGAATGATTAAGGTATCAGACTGTTAGGCTGTTATCACCAGCCCTTCAAATACGGGTTGTGGGTTCAAGACATCCGTGGGGCAGTGGTCAGGTACTGGCCGCATTCCAATAGTTTTCTCTAGGAACTGGCTTTTTTCCACCATCTAAACCTGACACATTCTCAAATGGCCCAGGTTGTTGATAGGATGTAAATCAACAGCAAACACATCATGTTTGATAATGCTGTAAATAAATGTCAAGGTTAAATTTGTATACATCAAAGGTCAAGGTTAAATTTGTATACATAGATGTATTTGTTCGATAGAGGTCACTTTTGTAGTCATTGTTTGTATTTTAAATATTAGTTGATGTTATGTCCTTAGTCCTACCTGATAAAAGTCTTTATTTTTATTTTTTATTTTTTCTCAGATGGGAGGAATTCGAGATATTGTCAAGGAAGATGAAAGAAATGATGATAATGATACAGTAAATACAGATGAAAATCCAATGAAACGACAAAGAATAACGTAACACCAACAGGAAATTTCCTGATCAGGATTCCCACACTGTTGTGAGTGGGAGCAAGGTACTATCCATGTTTATAAAAACGAGATGGAAAAGAGTTTCTTAAATAAAACAGGTGACAGTAGAAGCTTGAAGAAATGATTATTCCTTATAGTGCAAAAGATCTTCTAAACATAGGGAGACAGGACTGTTTAACATTACACAAAGGTTAAAGAAATATATTACCCTTAACGCGTATCACATAATGGGTTATACATTTTGAAACTTCTCTTGAAATGTTTGGACAAGACTTTTGTGACCTTGGCTGCACACTATGATTTTTCTCATCACAACAAATTTCCATTCATAGATATGTACCTGCCTTGTGTATCCATCCAACCTATAAATCATTCAATGTGATTTGTTTTTTCACTCGGTAATACAGTGACATTAGTTTTATTGAAGTTGATTTTAGTGGTCTTTGGATAATGTAAAAGGGTCTTGGGTCACAACCTGACCTGACCAAACAATACCTTTTTGTAAAAGATAAATTGTAAATCCAACATCAGATTTAGTTTGATAAAATTCTGCATTTTATTAAAAGGTGAAAATGTTGAAATGAACATATTTTGTCAAATTGCTTTGTTTTTGTTATTGTTGAGCATATCATTGCTAGCCTGTATGTGATTCAAGTTTATTAAAAAAATAAAAATTTTACTTTGCTCTTTCTTGTTTTTCATTGTGAGCTCCATGAAAAATTGAAGGAGGTGGAGACGGGGGGTTGGGGAGACACGCATTACATATGAAGTTGCCGCTTTGTTGGTCTGTCCATTCTTTCATGTCCAGATTCATGTCCAGAGCTGCAGAATTCAGTATGGAACATAAAAGTAGATGCATACCGCCACATTGGTCATACTAAGACCATGTGCAGTGTAAAAAATTCAGGGCCTGCAACCCCTCAATTACAAAGTTACTGCCCTTTGTTAAATTTGTGTCTCAGGCATAAATGTACATGCATTTAAACTAAAATAATGAAACTTCATGAGTACACATTGGTCATATTAGGAGGATGTGCAGTGTACCAAATTCAGGGCCTGAAACCATTATTATAGAATAAAATGAAACCTGTTGATTTCATACATGTGTTTCAAAAATAATCATATCAAACACTTTGTCACAATTTTGCATGATATTGATAAATTGCATTAATATATAAAGGAATTGTTTTATTTAATATAGTTGTTCATAAATAAATAGTCAAATCCTTCTTGTGTCAGCATCGTGTAACAGAAAACTCTCACAATCATTGATGGCGGCTGTTAAATGTCTGTCGGACTTCTTTCACCACCATCAATTAAATTTCAGTTAAGGTCATAAAGATATCAAAGCTAAATATGAAAAATCCATTGCAGTATATGTTACTGATATGATGTATTCAGATTCATCTTCAAAATGACTATTTTCAAGTCAGTTTGGTGTAATAACTAACAGCTTGTCATCTTTAGCAAAAGTTTGTTTTGTTTTGGCGTTACATGTACTAGGTGTTTGTACTTGGTGCCATACTTGTCAACCCTTCATATTTTGGGAGGAACGTCCCTTATGTTTCGTTATAAGTTTACACATGATCCTGCCACAAGTCCAACCCTTCCTTAAGGCCATAAATATATGTAGGAACCCCTTGGCTTCTTGCAGAATAAATACAGGTAATTTTTCTTTGTTTCTTTTTCTTTTGTTTGTCTGAAATCCTTGTTTATTACTTTTCACATATTAAAATTAAAAAAAACATTTGATAAGTACATAGACTTGCTCCTTTAAATGATCTCATATTATAATTAATGCCAGGTTAGTTTATCATGACCAGGTATAATGACTTATAATTAATGTCAGTTTATCCTGACAAGGTATAATGACTTATAATTAATGCCAGGTTAGTTTGTCATGACAAGGTATAATGACTTATAATTAATGTCAGTTTATCCTGACAAGGTATAATGACTTATAATTAATGTCAGGTTAGTTTATCATGACAAGGTATAATGACTTATAATTAATGTCTGGTTAGTTTATCATGACAAGGTATAATGACTTATAATTAATGTCAGGTTAGTTTATCATGACAAGGTATGATGACTTATGATTAGGGTCAGTTTAGTTTATCATGACAAGGTATAATGACTTATAATTAAGGTCAGTTTTGTTTATCATGACAAGGTATGATGACGTAAAATGCAAGGTAGTGCGGTATCTACTGTGTTGATTTCCATAACTCAAACAGAAAAATGTGTTTACAAATTTTATTTATTGATGTCAATTTGTCTTACAGCCTTTCATTTCTTTCACACGTTTCCATGCACCTTTTCAGACAACTTGACAACATATAATTCATACCAACAAATCTGAAATTTTAATTTAGACAAGTGATTGGTTTCCTGGTTTACTAATTCGAAGAATGAAACTGGATTACATTTTCTTTCCGGAAACAAATTCATATTTTTAAGATTATGGTCACATATAATATTTGTAACAAACATAAATTATAGAAATATCACAAAATATTGTAACGTCACTATCACATATGGGCAGTTCATTTCTTTTTGCCCTTGGCTGAACCCCGTCCTCCTTTCCCCCCCTTGGCACCACCCTCTGCAATGTCCAACTTTTTGTTGAGAGTGTCTTCTGTCGTTTTTATTTGTTCTTCCACTGATACCTTCATCTTCTTTACTTCTTCTGATAGGAATGTCTGAATCATCGATCGCAGTTCCTTCCTCGCATCTGACTCTTCTACAATAGATAAGTCACATTAAACATCTTTAACAAACATTAACATCATAAACATGCCACGAGATGTTACAATGTCACTATCACACAAGTACTTCATTTCTTTTTCCTTGTGGTTGAGCTCCTTAACTACAGGAATATTCATCAAGTTCCAATAATTTTTGGCGTTTTTTGTTTTTTTTAAATGTAGAGATTTCGGAAGCCAATTTACTTGTCCTGCTATATAAAATTTCAAAAATGATTTAAGTAGTCAGGAGGAGAGCTTATTACAGGACAAAATGCCCATGGGCTAACACATGACCCTGTCTCAAAATCAGGAGGTGGGCTTATTACAGGACAATAAGCCAAGAGGGCTAATACATTACCCCTGTCCCAAAATCAGGAGGTGAGCTTATTACAGGACAATAAACCAAGAGGGCTAACACATTACATGACCCTGTCTCAAAATCAGGGGGTGGGCTTATTACAGGACAATAAACCAAGAGGGCGAACACATTACCCCTGTCTCAAAATCAGGAGGTGAGCTTATTGCAGGAAAAAATGCCCATGGGCTAACACATGACCCTGTCTCAAAATCAGGAGGTGAGCTTATTACAAGAATGTGAACAATACAGTGGTACAGTGTAGTGCTAGAAGCAATAGCCACAAAGGGCTTGTTATGAAGTACAGGCTTTCAACCAAATGAATGTATAATTATGGGCTCTGATATAAGTAACCTCACAGCATATATATATAATATGTAGGTAGAATGGACCCAGTTCTCTGCCATTTTATACACTTTAACAAGACATCCAAGCAAATTGTGATGTCTTGAACCAGGCAATAGCTAAACGGGAGAATTTGATTTGTCATGAGATATTTTTAAGGGTGCAGTAAAGTTGTAACTGAACACTATCATGGATTTTTACCTGGCTCAGGAGTTTTCTCCCCTTGTTCTCCTTCTCCTGATTCCCTCTCCGGATCCTCTGTAATCAGATCTTCTGCCGACTCCTCTATAGGAACATCTGGCTCACCCGCTGGAAAATTACATGCACAAAAACGTTTTATTCAGAAAGTATAAGAGTGTCTATTTTAACAAGTGTGTTAAATTTTTAATGTGATCTGGGAAAACTGAACAGAAAAGAAAATGAAATAAGGAAACCGTGTGTGTAACCAATTCAGTATAGATATGTATTATTTGTAAAATATTAATGGTTAAATTGATACCACAGTAAGGCTACGTGCTTATATAGTGAAACAATGCTTACAGTGTGTAAATATCTCCAATATAAAAGTGCTACTATCAGCTCATATCAAACATGGGTTTGTTGAATTAAGAATAACAAATTGAGTACATAACAAATTGAAGCATGCTAATATCAAATATGAAATAGTCCTACACTGAACACAATAGAAATACCAACACCATCCTCATAATTCCTCTATAGATTACCCGTGTATAAATAAAAATAAACAGTAACTTTGTCATAAAATTACCTGAAAAATAACAATAGGAAAATAAAGGAAACGGGAATAATTATTGAAGGGTTAGGAAGAGTAAGGTAGCTTTCCATTATCTATACTTTGTTTTATCATGATGTACTCGAGCAGTACTTATGAAATATGCAAATGGGGAAAACAATTTTTTTTAAATATTCAATGGAAAGTTTATAAAAAATTAATTTTTAAAATTTCATCACCATTGATAATTATGACAGGCACATTATCACTCCTAGAGAGTCAAGGAATGTGTGGTCCGAGAGTTGTGTTTGTGGTCATAGTGTCTACATAACTGACTGTATGAGGTTGTATTCTCAATGATTTAAAGTTTTACAATATGATGGTATTTTATAAATAATACCTGTTTATCAAATTTTACATAATTATTATTTATCTTGCGTCAGGGTTAAAAAATTCCAGAATGGTGAGACAAAGTTTAAGCAAATATGTAATTATGAACTTTCTGAGAACAGTGCAGTGTATCGCCATCTTCGAATAACTAGACAGACTAGGCAAGTGTATGGCCTGTGTAGACTTTTCACACATAATATTCTGAACACAATGTGGACTGATTTTGTAAGTTAAGCATGCCTCATTGTCCATGATTTGTTTGTGAATAAGATTGAAATCCTTCAACATGCAAAAGAATTGATAGATTCAATTATACATAGAACATATGCCGTCCCAAACAAGCAACCTCCTCTAAGGACCCCAAAAGAGTTTTACAGAAAGGAGATCATGCAAATTGAAATATTCAGTCATTTTTCTCTGTGTGCATGTGTGTGTTTGTTTGTTTAATGCCTCATGAAAAGTCAGGATCTTTTCGAGGCAGTTTTATTGTAGAAGCTGTTATCCAGAGTAATTTGGGTAAAATGACTCCAAAAACACAACCACTAATTCGCAAGTCAGTTAATCTCAGTTTCCAAAGAAATCACCACAACTAGGGATCAAACTACAAACCTCGGATCTTCATCCAAGGTTACAATAGTCTGATGCTGTAAAATGGAGCTGTCACTACCCTTCCCTTTGTGCCACAAACAGATAAAATATACCACAATTACTGTGTTTGCTACAGATATACAGTTGTGACCTTGGTGATCAAGGTGACCATGACCTAGTTCCCTTTCCTTAAAACATATTGATGCACTACATGTATATACCAGTATTGGCTGCACCAGCGAATGTCACATGTTTGTGACGGCCCTCTCCTGTTGTCAATAGCAATGATACTATTATTACAAATTTACATATCTAGAAATAAAAACTTTCTAGTATATATAATAAAATGTACACCTTTACAATATACATAAAAACATAAGCAAAAATAAAATACAAAAAGAAATGAATTTGAAGAACTGATACCTCAAAAAAATCTCAGTTTTTTTAAACAAAAAATAAAATCTTCTTCCTAAAACAATGATAGGGTTATGCATTATTTCTGTTGGGTGATTAACAGTTTCTGTCACAAAAATGAAATACATGTAATGAAAAGTCATGTACTTGTACATGAAAACGTTTATTTCCAAGGGAGATAACTTACCTTCAGACTGAGGTGGTGAGGGAGGAACTCCAACGTAGGTCAACGACAAATCGAGGCGTACCTGAGGACAAATAATTTACTGTAAAATTGAATTCCTAATTTTACTTTTCATACATGTAGTATAAAATCATAATATGTAAATATATATACATATATATAATAGATACAGATCACTATACATATAATTACTAAAGAAATCAAATTTGCTGTTTTATCTTGAGAAAAAAAAAGAAAGAATTTCAATTTTAATGGAACTGATTTTGTTGAAAGGCAATGGGCACAAGAAAAAAATGTTTCCTTTATCATGGTCAAGTTAAATGAACTTGGGTACATAAAGGAATAGTTTTAATAAAGAAGTGTTTATTTTAACTACAACCATGGGCTAATTTCAGGATAAAAATATCATCTGATCGTTTAAAGAACCATTTCAATATATGTAACACAATTATCTCCCAACGCTAAACAGCAATCCAGCCTGTCAATGTGATCTCCTACAGGTTCACTTACCAGTGGTGTGAAGGCGTATTTATACATCTTGAAGTGACGGAAATATGTATTGACTACATATTCTGTTATCAAACGGATCTCATCAGCAGTAAAGAGTTCAATACTGTAGGGAGGTCTCTACAAATACAACATCTATCTTAATACATAACCACAGTCATTGGTATTACTTTCTGAACACATCAAAAAATGAGATTTGTTTCAGGAAATTTGCACTTATTGACAAAGATCTTTACAGTGCCTAGGGATTTATTTTAATAAAGCAATGTTGTTCAAAATAGAAAAACCATTAAAATATTACATCTTAGTGTTATTTCTAGCTTGTTGACAGATGGGTAAGAAATAATACAGTCATTATTCTTGTTAAATTTTGATGACTTTGTCATAGAAAATGAAGTAAGGTACAAATATTCTTCTCATCCTGATTTAGCCATTTTTAATGTGAGAATATATGTGTAATGCTAATGGCTCTAACAAACAGGTTCTATCTATAGACATGGGATCATTAAGTTTTCTCTATACTTACATTGACAGAATGACACAACACAAGCTCTTTAAAATAGTTGAATGTCTGGTCAACATTTCCGAATGGAGTTTCTGAAAAAAAAATAACACCCAAAAGTTATGTAGTCTAAGGAAATGTATATATGAACTATATTTCTTCTATATAATAAGTTGATGAAAACAGCTTTGTTGAAATGAATATAAAAACAGACATAAAACATTCATTTTTCAATCCCAGAGATTCTTATGTTAAAATTCATTACCTATACAAACTTCATGTGTCTTTTTCACAATAGAAAACAATGCAGACATCTTTTCTCTGTTAAAACCATTTTCTTTAGCAAACTGTATTGTGTAGTAGTACAGGTCAAGGAGAATTCCAGACTTGAGATTTTCTTTGTAGTCACTCAGATGGAACACCTCTGCCAACACTCTGCCAAACAAGGGAGACAACTAAGTCAATATTACTGAATACCTTATCATAATTACTGTTTATTAATTAATAAGGTGAATTTAAAATTTATGACATGTTTATCTAACATTAAGCATGGAAAAAGGGGAGGGGGCTACACATTACTTCTTACTCACAGTCAGGAGGTGGGCTTTTCACTGGTTAATGGAAATTTAAACTGAAGAGCAATATTTATGGGTGGGGTCATTGTGGGATAAACACCATAATAATCAATCTATAATGTGGAAAAGATCTTAAGATATAAGCTTCTATATAGCCTAAATAAGACGATATGTATATATATACGTATGTATGTATATTAATTTACTTAATTTTACAGTCCAAAAACTTTGACAAAAGCTATCTTTAAAATTGCTGGGAAGAAACAAAAAATGATACATACAATAATCATGTACAAAAACAATATTGTCTTCCAATAATAAGGATCAGAAAAATCTTTGGCAGTTCAATTTTTCTCAACATCATATCTGTACTTACTGCTTGATATGTGCTGCATTCTCTGACTCATTGATTTTGTCTACATCATCAACAGTGAGATCAGCCCTGTACCAAAATAGGTTTAAAATGGTATACAAATTGTTTACTTTGATAAAATGCCAAACAAGTTACCAAATGACCGCTGTCTTTAATCACCTTTGACTTATAATCTGATATGGAAAAAATCTTGTTCATTCCTCAGGATTTTCTTTCCCATATCACAAAAAAGATTCAAACACAATTTTAAACTCATAAAGGGCCACATAAACTTTGATGTCAATGTTAATTTCATCCCGATAATATGAAAATCAACTGAGAAATAAATTCCCAGCATACAAAAATATGATACCAGTACGGGTATATGCATATGCTCCATATATATATTTCAATATATGTAATATCAGTATACATTTTTATATATCTAGACCAGACACCTTAGGCTGTCTATATAATAGATTTAGTAACCTTTATAGCATATACACACTGGAATGGAATTTGTTTTAACTTTATGTTTTGTAATTCTATTGACAAATAAGATATATCTTTTAAAAGATACGAAATAAATCATGAAGATGTGAGATAATATTTATATAATTTTGGCAAATGATGGATTGACATTGCTATATAATATATCTGAAGGGGAAAAAGTCAGGTTAGCAGGCTTCTGCCAATCAGTCACATGTAGCCTTGTCGAGTCTAGTTTCAAATATCATTTCTGATTGATAGGTCACCAGTATAATCAGTTTTCAGTTCAATACTTACCACACACACACTTTAGCTCTGTGATTTCTTGGCTGAAAAAGGGAAGGAAATTATTAATTTGTGATATCGTTTAAAGTCAAAGAAGTAGAATGAATGACTTCGCTGTTAGTGGTGTTTCAGTAACGTTACTCATCCAATATACAGTTATCAATTACCGAATTATTTAACACCGATTGTACTATCCAATGTCATTTTCATCTATTTATGATCACCTGTATTAATTTTGGAACATCTTTAGTCTCTATTGGATCTTCCATAAGCATAGGAGACGGCATTTTGTCTTTTGACAATGTAAACAACGCTGTCCTCTTTTTTTTCCTTTAATGGAGTTTGTTGCCAAGAGAGCATAAACTTCCGGTTTAATTTTCTATCCGAGTTACCTCCCTTACACCAACTATTCGATAGGTAAACGTTTTAAAAAATCTTACAATTCTGAGAAGGAGTACGAACTTGTTCCAGATACTTGGCCTCTGTTTGATATCCAAGGTTCCGTCCTCGACTTTAGCTATGGTAAACAAAGAATAATGTATCTTCAATGCCATATTGGAATATTTGGTTATGATATTTTTAGTATTAGAATCGTCACGAACCTTCCTCGGATTCCGGACTTATGTTTTTTTTTTTAATATTCAGTCTGTCAAATCATGGCACCTGTGACCAAAATGTCTGTTTTGATTTTTCTAACTCATCACCTATTCCAAAACTAAGGACTGAATGGTTTGTTTTCCAAATTATAAAAAAAATAAAAGCGAAAGGCTATAAAAATGACCGAGGCCAACATGTTGACATGCTCGTTAGTATATACTCTCGTGGCATTGTACTGGCGTCTACTTTCTCATAACGACATCAGATTGACATAGCATGACATGAAAGACCAAAGACTAAATAAAATGTATAATTATCTAATCTTAATATATATGCACGAGTAATAGATTTGAAGAAATTTTGTCAAAAGCAAATTCGATGACTACACGGTCACCTTCATCTTATAACACAACCAGTAGAAGATTTGAGTGTGACGTTTCTGTGACTACATGGTCACCTTCATCTTATAACACAACCAGTAGAAGATTTGAGTGTGACGTTTCTGTGACTACATGGTCACCTTCATCTTATAACACAACCAGTAGAAGATTTGAGTGTGACGTTTCTGTGACTACATGGTCACTTTCATCTTATAACACAACCAGTACAAGATTAGAGTGTGACGTTTCTGTGACTACACGGTAACCATCATCTTATAACACAACCAGCAGAAAATTAGAGTGTGACGTTTCGATGACTACACGGTCACCTTCATCTTATAACACAACCAACCAGTAGAAGATTAGAGTGTGACGTTTCTGTGACTACATGGTCACCTTCATCTTATAACACAACCAGTAGAAGATTAGAGTGTGACGTTTCGATGACTATACGGTCACCTTCATCTTATAACACAACCAGTAGAAGATTAGAGTGTGACGTTTCTGTGACTACATGGTCACTTTCATCTTATAACACAACCAGTACAAGATTAGAGTGTGACGTTTCTGTGACTACACGGTAACCATCATCTTATAACACAACCAGCAGAAAATAAGAGTGTGACGTTTCGATGACTACACGGTCACCTTCATCTTATAACACAACCAGTAGAAGATTAGAGTGTGACGTTTCTGTGACTACATGGTCACTTTCATCTTATAACACAACCAGTACAAGATTAGAGTGTGACGTTTCGATGACTATACGGTCACCTTCATCTTATAACACAACCAGTAGAAGATTAGAGTGTGACGTTTCTGTGACTACATGGTCACTTTCATCTTATAACACAACCAGTACAAGATTAGAGTGTGACGTTTCTGTGACTACATGGTCACCTTCATCTTATAACACAACCAGTAGAAGATTAGAGTGTGACGTTTCTGTGACTACACGGTAACCATCATCTTATAACACAACCAGCAGAAAATAAGAGTGTGACGTTTCGATGACTACACGGTCACCTTCATCTTATAACACAACCAGTAGAAGATTAGAGTGTGACGTTTCGATGACTACACGGTCACCTTCATCTTATAACACAACCGGTAGAAGATTAGAGTGTGACGTTTCGATGACTACACGATCACCTTCATCTTATAACACAACCGGTAGAATATTTGAGTGTGACGTTTCGATGACTACACGGTCACCTTCATCTTATAACACAACCAGTAGAAGATTAGAGTGTAATGTTTCGATGACTACACGGTCACATTCATCAGACAAATCTACATCCAATGTACGTAGTTTCGGTGAAAGCGGGTGATAAAAATGTAAATCTGCTAAAGAGATAAAGAAAGCAAATTCAAAAACGTATTTTTCTGTTAGAAACAATTGTTTTTAATGCAGTAGAAAGAAACAGGGAAATTCATAAAATCGTAACTCCTGTAAGTAAGAGTTAATTAAGAGCCTGGAAAAACAACAAAGATGAAGCTGTCTTGTGACTGAATGGATTATAACGAGTATCAGATACGACTACTCAAAACTACTCCAGTCAATAGGCAAACCTTATAGCTCTTCGTACATCGTTCATTCTGTATTGATTCGACAAACATTTTCCTCAATCAGCATATGTAAAAATACTTTTTGAATGTTTTTTTCGATCAGTTTCCTTTCAGCCTCTTGTGAGAATGTGACACTCTTTAAATCAATTTAAATATTTATTTTTTAATTTTAAGGGCGGTTATCGTTGATGGTGGGGACGCTTTTCCTTCCAAAGGACTTCAAATTATTCTGCTGGCAATAATGCAATTATCTCAGCTTCATCGTTATTCCGGTATTTCCGAGCTAGAACTACAATTTTGTGAAGATGGTGGTATTTTCTTGTTTCTGTTTACGATGCTACGTTAGCAAGGTTCGATACTTTTGTCTTCATTTTAAGTTTATATGATGAAGATATGAAAGTAGTATTTTTATCCTAACGACATTTCTCTTTATATAATACTGAATAATGACACAGAAAACACTTTATTAAAAATAAACGTTTATTCCGACATTCAACCAAGAAATAATGTTGTACATGATATACTAGGTTATCTCCCTTGTACAGCGATCTGCCTTCACCGAGAGTATTACAATCAATAACTCAACTCGCTAAAAAATCATTATTTCACAAACAAGACTTTATATGAATAAAATTCACGCTGATCTTAAACACTGAAATGAGCTTGATGATATCTTCTATGGAGAATGCGATCCAACATTTTGTTGAAGCCAAGGTATATAATTTTCAACACGTGTGTATGCTCCTGGTGAGTCAGGCTCTGGAATAAGACCAACGAGTTAAAGACCTAATATCTAAATCAATTTTACTTGAAAAAAATACTCTACTAGTAGTATTTAAATGATAATGTCACATGTTTTATAAGAAGAAAATATTTATTAAAACTGATATTATGGCATAATTTATGCATAACTGTTACCCATACTTAGTGTTGGTTGTAGCTGAAGTGAAATTAGTACGTAAAAGGGGGATATTATCTTTATTGAAAATATTTATAAAGTTGCAATGAACTTTCAGCTGATTTGTGATATTTCTTCATGTTTGTTTCATTTATTAACTAGCGTTGATAGAATACCCTTAAAAGAAATTATTATATCAACAAAAATACCTGCACATCCATACCCCCATGATACAATTCCTTCTAGCTGCCATTTTCCGCTCAGTTTACATATAAATGGGCCTCCACTGTCACCCTGAAACAGTAAAAATCAATCGACGACCTCATAAGTTCGCTGTGGTGAAAAAAATCTTCACGTAAATAATACGTTGTGTTTACTATCATATCCAAGAGTACGAAAGGAATTTCCACAAATATGACCATTTCATTGAATTACTGGTGTAGTGTTGGGTAGGAAAGTTAGCATGATCCATGGGTCCAGGGGACGTAAATATGATTTTGAAACTCTTATAAAAAGGAGTTTTTTTCTCTTTTTAATGCTTTGGAAAAAAAGATGTTTGTGTCTGCTCTTATTTAATTACCCATTCACTCAACAATACTAGTATACACCCCATCTAGATATTTAAAACTCTCTGATAATTTTTTTAATATTCCTCAGTCGCTTCCTAGTTTTTAAAATTTAAGCATGACTGACGAGTTCTAAATGATGTATGATGCAGCATAATTCATTACTTTCCTTTCCTGTATTTGACCCTGTAAAGGTGCTATCCGCTTGTGCCTTTGTACCATCTTTATAAACTTTCCGAGTGACAATTACTTATTTGTCGTTACCAATCAAGCTGACTATGAATACTAACAACACCAGTCCATCTCCAACAAATTTCTATCTACATTTGCAAAATGAAAACTTGTTTTATCGAAATGCCTAATTTAAATTCAATGGAATGGTTTTAATTTCCGTATATAGGAATAACGTTAGATACTTTGAAACCTCTATATAAGAAATAACTGTTTAGTAAGACCCCCTGTTTCATTAAGTGACCTTTATGAACATTCAGATATGTGCCATAATCTGAATGTTTGCAGTATTTGGATTTAAATCTTTTAATAACGATTTAAAAGTACTAGAGAAAATTTAAATTGTTACAAAAAAAATGCAGAAGCGCCAATCGGGCATTGTACCTGGCATGTATCGTGTCCACCGGCGTCAAATCCAGCACAGATCATGTTGGCTGTGACCCCACCATCAAGAGATGCGTTACAACTCTGTAAGTTCACTACCGGAAGTGCAACTTGTTTTAAAATACCTGCGCCGCCAGTGCCTAGAAATAAAGGCAGACAAAGTCAGGGAAGACAGGCTAAATTAGGTTCAGAGGTCAAGGATTCTAGGAGGGAAAGTTGAGACTAAAAGGAACACTTATGTGGGAATATCCCTCAAGAAACGTAATGGTTGTCACATAAATTGTACCTATTTTCCATATTTCCATATGGGATCTTACCCTCGGTTTCCCCCCAACCAGATGACATGCATTCCGTTCCGTCCGGAGCTGTTTCTGTCGGTAGACACGCCACGCTGACGTAATCGTTAATCGTGAAGGGTGGGTCCACCTTCAGTAACGTGATGTCATTGTCAATTTCGGCTGCTTTGTACTGGTCGTGCATTAGTACTTTGACAACGTCTCTTAACTGTTGATGTGGGTCATCTTTCTTCTCGTGTTGTTTTCCCGCGTAAATTTTCCAGTTTTTGGGGTCTCTGTTTCTGTAAAATACGAAAAAAATAACAACAGTAATATCGTTTGGACAAAACATGACACCAGCATAATGATTCTGTTTTTTTCATGATTTAATGTTTGCCTCGAACTGATACAGATTATCGAACATATTAACTATTAAATTTCTCCGTAAAAAATTACCATCTATTTTATATATTTTCGTAAAAGACTTGAAGCTTCAAAGAAACTATCTTACTCCTCAAAACAGTGAGACGCTGTTGCAACCCATTGGGGGGCAATCAATGTACCCCCGCACATATGGCTCCCTAAAAACCTCAGGGACACCTGCCAAGGTAAACTGTTTGGAATAGCAATCTTCCCTCCGACGATTTTGGTATTTCCAGCAGCCGGTGTAATAGCGGGAACTCCACACGTTGCGACATTTCCTAAAATAAAAAAAAATGACCGTTGTTCTAGCTATCCAATGCAATTTCAAATCGGCAATAAATCATAATCTGTGAAAGTGGGGGGAGGGGGGGGGGGTAGGGGGGGAGGGGGGGGAAGAGGGAAAGTCGATAACATCACTTCATACACACTCACTATTTTTAACCTATAGAATTTATATAGTGAATTATCATGTTGATGCTTCAGAATTTGGGGCGGACTTAGATTTTTATCGCTCAGGCATTAAAACATGTTACGGGAAATATTGCACTTTTAATGTTTTATATAATTCATATACATGTTTTTGTTGAACATGATTATTTCCTGACATCAAGAACTCGCGAAGACCCTAATCAAATAAACTGAAACAAGAAAATGTATTCCACCGAAATATGCTTATTTCAAGTCCTTTCTATTTCAACAAGAACGCGTTATTTCAATGTTACAAAAACAGAACACTCACCACATACAAGTTCCTCGGTCCCCCCAGGACAGTCATCTTGTCCATTGCATACTTGATTGGCACGAATACATGAATTGTCATTACACCTAAAGTCGTCCGCATTCGGGCAAGCAGCTGGTAAATTACACAATAGTAGTCAATTTATTCCAAATATATTTCATAAAAAAATAATTTCCTTCTTCCATTTGAACCTAGAACTAAGGTTCTAACCGGACTTTCGTCGGGAATGTTTCCAGTTACCAATGTTTATTGGCTTACAAAATTCGGTCTACGGATGTTATATGGTATTAACACGCGAGGAGAAAATTCGGATGTTGAAGTTGTAAAATCACAAATGAAATATAAGCATGGGTTACTGAATGTGTACTTCTTGTACAGCTTGCTATCTTAGGTTCGAACTCCCGTGATTTTGCTAAAACCCAGATGCAAAAAAAGGTTTTATTTTCCACATGGAACTCACTGATTTTCTTCACTGACTTTGATTGCGGTGTATCTTATTTTCGTAATTTATTCCATCTTCGAGAACAGGAAACTCAAATCCCCTCGACAATGACATCAATAACATGTCGACGAAATTATTACTTACGAATCCGGTCATGGACGTCATAGGTTATATTGAAACCAAATCCTCCAATACTTTCATCCGTTACAAACCGGATGTTGAGGGAGTTCCGTTTACTCGTGATGTATTCTGGGTAAACAAACCCACATAGACGTGTATTTTTATGGCCGTCTGTAATACTAACATAATCATATTGGCAATCTTCGTCTTCCTCTGTCTGAAATGACTGAAACGACAAAGGTATCTATTATCAAGCTGTATTTTCTGTTATTTGGATCAATACTTTCTACTATGTTTAAAATATACACATTAGTTGTTTGTGACCTTGACACCAGAACAAATGTAATAGATTTTGTAAGAAAATTTTATTTATTTACACACACATGTATGTATTTATTTTTTATTTAAACATATTTTATTTGTACAAAGTATACAAGCAGGATTGGGCACAAGTTTTCTAACTTATATAAAGCCCTTTCCAAATGTATGTATGTGTGTGCGTGCGTGCGTGCGTGCGTGCGTACGTACGTATGTTCGTTCCAAATGCGATAATTAACCACTGAATGAAAAGAATTTGCATCAAACACAAAAAGTCAATTAGTTTTGTACATGTACATAAAAATCAAAGACTAAAAGTCGTTCAAATTTTCTCTAGCCTTATCCCCTAAAGACAGGGGTACTTATATCCAATGGGATATCATCTATAATTTCCTGTAAAAACGTGAACATGATATGGGGGTAAGACTTAGTTCTCGAATTTTTGTTTGATGAAGGTGACTTTGTAGTCATCGAAACGTCACACTCAAATCTTCTACCCGTTGTGTTATAAGAAGTTCTATTCTATTGTCATTACTCACCTGAAGAAAATGTAAAAAAAAAAAATAAATAAACTAGGTTTTGGCTCAAATTCTATACCCGAGGATAGAAAGCCTATATCTATAACGGATGTATTACAAATGAACCTTTGCAAAGGTATGAAGTATACACAGATAAGGAATTCAATGTTAGACTATGTATCTTGAAATGACGAAATGTATTGAATTTCCTTCGATTTCATCTTTTAAGATAAACTCAGTACCATATAAATCACAAGACGTACGTACGTTAATTGTCAGTGTGATGACTTTGCCAGCAGGAGCAGTTATGGTCCAGCGACACAATAGATCGTTAGGGTACTCGGTGACACCATCAAAGAGGTCAGAGGTCAACATCCCGTGGTTATCCCTCAGTGTGACCCTCTTGGTACAGGCTGTGTCGTGCGTCTGAGGGTCAGCTAACGTACAAAATAGTTGTAATTAAGATCTGTATTATTGTTCATATACAAATGTTTACAGCAAGTCCACCTTCAAAATCGAAGGATTCCTTGGACAAACGATGCTCTTCTCTGCTCTCTGGAATACGTTAAGACATTTCTGAAGGCTCTCGGGTTACAGTGTCATGGGGTACAGATGAGGTGTCCACAACTTAGGACAGAATCACTGTTACGTTTACAGACTAGTTACAATGTCACACTAAGAAAGTCTTGTAATATACTGTGGTATACATAGAGTAAGTATAGCGGTTAAAACAATAACATGTGAACAGAAAGTAATATAGAATACCGGAGTCACTAAATATCAAAACGAGGCAGTAACCGAAAAATAAGGATGGAATAATGAAGCCAGCACTTGAATTGCCAAGATGTGGATGAATGAAAATACTGCCCCCCAAAACACAAGTGAACAGCACCATTCAATAAAACATTAGAATCAGATACCATGTAGACAAGTAAATAAGTAAGCTACATCATACAGCTACTTCATCCTTTAAGGACTCGTTAGTGATGCTACATCATACAGCTGCTTCATCCTTTAAGGACTCGTTAGTGATGCTACATCATACAGCTACTTCATCCTTTAAGGACTCGTTAGTGATGCTAAATCATACAGCTAATTCATCCTTTAAGGACTCCTTAGTGATGCTACATCATACAGCTGCTTCATCCTTTAAGGACTCGTTAGTGATGCTACATCATACAGCTAATTCATCCTTCTAGGACTCGTCAGTGATGCTACATCATACAGCTACTTCATCCTTCTAGGACTTGTCAGTGATGCAAAGTGAATCAATTGTTGTAACCTAAATGTCAAAACTTCTAGGACTCGTCAGTGATGCAAAGTGAATCAATTGTTGTAACCTAAATGTCAAAGCTTCTAGGACTCGTCAGTGATGCAAAGTGCGTCAATTGTTGTAACCTAAATGTCAAAACTTCTAGGACTCGTCAGTGATGCAAAGTGTGTCAATTGTTGTAACCTAAATGTCAAAACTTCTAGGACTCGTCAGTGATGCAAAGTGCGTCAATTGTTGTATCCTAAATGTCAAAACTTCTAGGACTCGTCAGTGATGCAAAGTGCGTCAATTGTTGTAACCTAAATGTCAAAACTTCTAGGACTCGTCAGTGATGCAAAGTGCGTCAATTGATGTAACCTAAATGTCAAAACTTCTAGGACTCGTTAGTGATGCAAAGTGCGTCAATTGTTGTAACTTAAATGTCAAAAAGCAAATTATTGATTTTTTTAAATAAAAAAGATACTTACATGTAACTTTGACCGCTTCAAATGTTGCGTTAATGCCTTTACCGTTGTAGCTCCTATCGGAGTAGAAAGCAATCATCATGTTGTTTGTCTTTGACCATTCGTCTCTGGGCACTCTTCGACCACAGATCGTGGCCAGGAGATCATCCGCAGTGCTGGGACCGTCATAAATCCTGACACTGTCGTATTTACACAGAAAGGAACCTTCTACACCAAAGTCGTTGAAATGAACCTTGATTACGTAACCTTCAGGGCCAAAAATCCTCCAAACACAGGTAGTGTTGACCTCGTAATTTTTCCCTGAACCAAAATTTGGAGTTTGTATAATCCCAGGACCTGAGTAGTTAATCCACTGGTCACACCCATCGGGCCCAGCGTCGTGTTTTATCTCTGTAGGCAATCCGGTGGCTACAAGGAAGCAATCAATTGAATATGTTATTAATGTACCTAATTTGATACCGTTTCTGTTGATAGTTTACCTGACAAACTTAATGTTTTCTGTATTTCTCCTTTAAAGTATGTATAAACCTTTTTCATAAAGTTTTGTCAGCTTTATGGAAGCCACTATCCAAAGACTACCAAACAAAAATTTCTTCGAAATCGTTAAAATGAAACCTATCACCAACACAGCTTTATCAACACAATTAAGACAATTATATGAACATGTACTTTTTATTTCTTATTTCATGACGATAGAACGAGTGGAAAGGCCTATATACTATAACTTTATTTATAATATAACAAGCCTGCTGCAGCACACGCCTGAAAACACTGTTATCGCGTCGTCATTAGACAAAACATATTGTAAACCTCTAAATTGCGAATTTTTGGTGTTGTATTGCTTTTCATAGGCCAATGTATAAATTATTTTGAATCTTTCATTTGTATATGAAAATGAAAAATATCAAAACGCTCCATTTGCTCTTCCTGGAGTTTCTATATGAACCTATATTATTTTCACGTCGATTTTGACTTTGAATTTCATTTAGGCACCGTGTATACTGTACATCAGATATGACCAAATGAACAACAATTTACCATAAGGTCAAACATATGTAAAACGAAACTTCAACAGATCATATTGGTTATATCAACATACCATCAACTGCTTCCCAGTGTACCATAAATCCTTTGAAACTGGACTCTTCATCCGAGAAGAACTTGACCAGTGCGTGGTCACTCGGAATGATGATGGGGTCAGGAGCAGTGTCCCCACAGTACTCACCTGTTTTATGAAGAGATAGAGAAGCTGGTAATCTTGGCGTTCTAAGACGTTTCCAGTTGAAATTAATTACAAAGCATTACTGAGAGAAGTCGACAAACTCGTAACACAGGGGTTCAAACGTTGATGAAAATTACGGTGAGGTTCTATGGTCGCCATTGTGATGTCAATGAGAAGTGATGTATTTCTTTGTGTGATCTGGACGTGTTTGATGTCTGTAAGTTTGTCTGTTGGTTCCGTTCTTGTATACCTTGTTCTCATTTGAGAACGTGACATTACTTACTAAATTGATCAATGTTTATATTGCGGGAGTTGTCGATGAAGCAGAAGACGCTTACTGTTTTGGAACACCTGCTCTTATTCTCTTTTTTCTTTTTCAGGGTTTCAGTGTAAATGTTTGCTTTGTTCATTTAATTTGGAATTTGAGTTTGGATTATGATTATGTTGCCACGTTGGTGTTTTATTTTATTATTTATTTTTTTTTTTTTATGTTTTTAGTAAACATGTGGCGTCAGATCAGGTGTTGTAGCCGATTTATTACAATCTAATTCGTATTTCAATAATAAAACACTAGCCCACATCATTTTAAAGCTATCACAAGCTGATAAGGCATGCGTCGCGTGGCAGCAACAACCTTGTGTTTATCGAGACTTCGGGAAATGACGCTAGGTTTCGATAGATTGTGTTGACAACTATGTAGAACGGAATGTGTTGGGGTCAGAGTTGTTGAAGACTGTAGAAGTTGTGAGTCGAACATGATTGTGAATTATTCTTATTCCTGTAAGGATATGAAGTGGTGAACATTAATCTACCTGGCGGTTTCCTTGATTTAAACAGTTTTCATTTTGAGAACGTAGGATCCATCTAGATTTTGATGGTACCTATATGTTCTTATTTATATGGTATCAATGTACTCTTTCTTAATCATAGCTTTGTTTTCAAGGAAGGGGTTTTAAAAGGTAAACCTAGATATGTATCTGCCAATTTTCGGTAGATATATCAGTGGCCATGACATTCTGCCTTACACCTCAATCTGTCCGTATATATGAAGATCTTTTTTTTTCTGTATTTATGTCACTATGTTAAAGACATGACAAACTATGGCCTTCACCTCGGTCTGTATGTCAGACAAGCTATGACCTTGGCCTCTATGTGGATATCATTATTTATATGTGCCCGTGACAGCTGTTCAGATTTGACTCACCTACAAGAGAATGATCCTTGCCATTGAAGATAGTAAGTCGATCAGTATCACAGACGGCATGTCCATCCTCGATCTCGAAGTCGGGGTCAAAGGTTAACTTGATAAACTAAAGGTAAATAAGTATACAACTTTTTACATGTTGCTTCTTATCTTTCATATCAAAACTTTTGTGATCAGTTTCATTACTTCTTATGTAATACATATCGATTGTTTGACGCACGTAGAAGATGGGTAATATATTACATTGTTTGTCTTTGTTAATCAATTCTTACCACAATATTGCAAAAGGACTCTTTCTAGAAAAAAATCAAGTTTCTCGTTTTCAGACTTTAACTGGATGAATGAAATCCGTGTATGAAGAAAGTTCAGTCTAGCGATTTAGTTTTTATGTATAAGATTTAATTTCTGTATTGATTACTTGACTGAGTTTGATTAATTTATTCCGGTTTATGGCATTCTTCTTTCAATTCACTGTTTAAAACTTCTGTGCCTACATCTAATATGACCCAATATAGAAATATTGTGTCAAAATGCCGTTCTGGTAAATTTTCGTGAAACTCAAATTTCGAGGATAAAAAACACTGTTTCATGGGCAGTTGATTTAAATAAATCAGAATAAATGATGTTCAAGGGACCGACCAACACTAAAACTTCATGTCAATTATCTTACAGTTATTTGTGTTTTAATTCGAGTTTGGATCATAATGTTGACATATTGGTATTTCTTTGGTTGTTTTTCTCTTTCTCTGTTTTTTTTTTTTTTTTTATGTTTATTACCCATAAAATTAACGAAATAAAAATATCATTGAAAAAAATGTGATTTTACGATAAATATACATCGGGAAGTGTTTGGACATCTCACCTTAGGTAGCATTCTGAAATCCATGTTTGAAATTACAAGTTTGATATCGCTCTATCCTTAGGCGTACCAATAAAACCTACCATTCCGTGCGGAACATTGATATCCCAGTGGCATTCTGTATCGTTCTCATACTCCGATATTGGCCCAGTGTAGTCCATACTGCTGAAAGAACCAGATGTACCGTTTTGCCATGCACTACTCCTACAGCCGGACAATCCTGTAACATTTGTAGGAATATTACGGTATTACCGTGAATCGTGTGTTTTACTAATCAGAGGTTACACTAACAAGGTACCTTGACCATATATAGTAATGTCTGTATTATCTTTATTTTGATGATGCTAAACTTCTATTGGTTACATTAGCATTTTATAATAGGTTTTTTTTGTATTGTTGTTTGGTTGGTATTCAGATTTAAAATTGTCCGTCTAACTGTTACCTTATAATTTGTTATTTGCCCTTAACTTTGTAGGTGTATTTCAGAATATTACTTAAGTGTGTTATATTTGTATGTAACAATGTAACAAGGTATGATATTGATAACCTATTTCTGTGTGTTGATTTTTACGTCATCAGTAACTTATTTGTGAAATGAATTTGTATGATATTGATAACCTATTTCTGTGTGTTGATTTTTACGTCATCAGTAACTTATTTGTGAAATGAATTTGTATGATATTGATAACTTATTTCTGTGTGTTGATTTTTACGTCATCAGTAACTTATTTGTGAAATAAATTTGTATGATATTGATAACCTATTTCTGTGTGTTGACTTTTACGTCATCAGTAACTTATTTGTGAAATTAATTTGTATGATATTGATAACCTATTTCTGTGTGTTGATTTTTACGTCATCAGTAACTTATTTGTGAAATAAATGTGTATGATATTGATAACTTATTTCTGTGTGTTGTGTAGTACCTTATAAGAAACTGTCTATGAGTTGTACCCTACCTGTTTGTTTGCCACAATTGTCCTCGTCCGCCAGATCCCCACAGTCGTTACTTCCATCACAAACCCAGTTTTTGGGGATGCATGTGTTGTCCGGACACTCATATTCTGTGCCTTTACATACGCCTGTAATTGTTACATTATATATACTTAATCAACCTTTACTATACATCACATTGAAAACATAAATACTATGTATATTTTTGTACGTCGAAAGAGAAGCTCAGACTTTAAACATGGCAAAAATATATATTGTCTTAACTCTTTTCCATCTGAAATCACCTTTCCAAGTCAATACATTTGTGTTTATTCCAAAATATGATCAAACTCATTGAGTGATGTTGTGCAGATGCCTAAGTTGCGTACCGGAAGCTGCGCAGTTTTCTTCATCGCTCGAATCACCACATTGATTGTGTCCGTCACAGATTCCAATTTTGGGAACACATCGGTTATTGGCACATCTGTAGAAGTTGCCTCCACATCCGGCTGTAGAATAAACACGAATGTTTACTTAGTTGTAGTCATACAGAACTGATATAGAAAAGGCCATGTGTTAGACGGTTTGATAACAAACCGCATGAGTACAGCAAATTATACTATTTTCAGAATTTCTTATGTAATCGTTCGAAACAGCAAGTAAATCTTACTTGACGCTTGAACAAAGTCGTAAGTGATATTAAAGCCTTTAGCTTGTCTGTGGCTGTTGGTGTTGAGATACAAGGACAGATATCGGTGGGATGAGATCAACTCCAGACTTGCGTTCCCACAAAACTTCCCAATTAGTGGTGAGCGTGCGTTTTTGCCGTCATATATCGCCAAATAGTCGTTGTCACACCTTGAGGAGAAACAAGTTCAGTAAACAACTCAAATAAAATGAATATGTGCTTAAATAGATTTGCGTTCAAGATGCGATGAAAGTGATAACGGATAGATTCAAAAGGGGGAAATGTGTCGTGAAAAATAGATAAGAAATGGGATAAATTGTGTAAAAAAAAATAGATGTGCTCTTCATTTATGTTAGCGGATCGATATCTAAATATTCTGCCTTTTCTATTGGTTTACAGATTATCACCTTCCCATCAATAGAAACAAGAAGCAAACATACTCATTGTCGTCTTCTAACTCAAACCACAGAGCCCGGAGCCGGATAATTTTTCCGGATGTGGAATGTATTCTCCAGTGACAATATATATCATTTTCGTATAATGTCGTATTTGGATTGGACGAGATGTATCTGTGGTTATGTGTTAGCTGAGAAGGTCCTCCACAGCCAGAGTGTCCTGAATCTTAAAATAAAATATACAAAGATAACAAATGCTATTTACATTTTGTCCTAAATCTTCACACACAAAAAGCAAAGATAACAAACGCTGTTTATACTTCGTCCCGAATCTTCACACACAAAAACAAAGGAAACAAAAAACATTTTTATATTTCGTCCCGAATCTTCACACACAAAAAGCAAAGTTAACAAAAGCTATTTATATTTTGTCTAGGATCGTCTTTAAAAAAAATAACAAGAGTTTTTTTTATATATTTTGTACCGAATTTTCGCAGAAAACAAAGATAAGAAACGCTTATCATTTCAATTAAACATATTTATATTATTTCAAATAAATAAAAAGGAGATAGGGCACAAGTTCTCCAACTTATATAAAGCCCTCTCCCCAAAACAATATACAACAACCGAAATATTTACTTAAGATAACATTTCTATAAAGGAGAATAGGTAGAGTAGATAAGGGATGCAAAGAAATAAAGGATTTGTTTTAATTGGGGGCGGGGGTGGGGGGGGGGGGGGGGGGGAGAGGTGAGTGAATGTCTTATCATGTGGACGTAACCATTATTTGATTGGTATATTTTAACACCTTAGTTTTTCATCTCTCACCCAAGCAGCAATTTCTATCATCGTTAAACATACATGTATACATGTATATTTAATTTCAACCCTTGCCCCATCACATTTTATATTTAACTATTTGTTAAAACTTATCTAAACGTACCTTCTACATTGATAGAAGAACGATATAGTTACCAAATGGTATAAGGCCAGCATTATTTATCAATAACAATAGCATATAACACATCTATTAGTGTATTCTTATAGACACGTGCTATTCACGTTTTGTTTCCGCACGAACACGTGTATTTATTCGCCATAAATAAGTAGATATTTCGGTTGTTGCATATTGTTTTGGGGAGAGGGCTTTATATAAGTATATATTATTATAAATTTAAGTGTACATTACATGAACTACAGACATGATTTTCAATAGTATTACAGATTGTCCTCCTGTCATTTACCAGAATAAACTATCAAAGGACCTGAACAAACTGATTGATGAATACCACAAACTTGTCAGTGATAAAATGATGGATGCGAACAATATTCTAAAGTAGCCTTGACCTATAATACGTACAGCCAACGACCCAATAACGGTGTGTATATTTCATCACCAAAGATAAATAAATAACACGGAACCATTTTGTATTTTGTTTTATTTGCTTTGTTTCAACTTAAGTTTTATTTCCTAGGTTTTTGATGAAGGAAAAATGGACCGAAAATCCTATTATTTAAGATAGGGATTAAATTTGTACTCACATCTCTGTAATGATTACAGACATACATAAATGATTTGGTGTAAGTACCCTATGCTACACTTCCCTTGTAAATTTGTTAATAAATCAATATTGTCTTACTAAAGTCTCATACAAAACTTATAAAGACTTGAACACAGATAACACATCATGGTGTAATGTTATTATTCTGATATGTTTGTTATATCTAACATACTATAATTAGCTTCTAGATTTCAATTACCGTGCCTTTCGCTTGTCGGAGTAGAGTCGGACTGACGATTCCTTTCAATTATTGGAGTTTTTAGTAAAGTTGGGTTTGTACATTTCGATAAATCATGCTACAAGTTTATAAGTTATTAACTACGATTCAATTGCTACATGAGTTGATCTAATTGTTTGATAATGGGATTTAGGGACGTACTTGTATTTTTAATCGTTTTCTTTGTTTATTTCCCCAACCCTTACTAACTTTTTATTTTTTTATATTTTATTGGTACTCTCAGACATACTAAGTATGTTACAAGAGGTCAGATTTCAAAAAAAAAAAAAAAAAAAACATTCTTGGCATGGCGGTGAACAATTACATACATAATATTATTTTAGCTACCATCAATAGATTATCAAGCTTTTCAAGAAATTTACTGAAATTTGATAAAACTAACATTACATACAGAATAAAGTCCATGCATTTCTGTAATACTAGGATAAGTAGAATAGTAACGTGGGATAAATTGATCTCTAATTCTACGAACTGATTCATGATCGCATCTAAATAGATAGTGGTATTCATCGCCAATTTCATTTGAGCAAAGATTACAAATTCTGTTCTCCCTTGGTATTCCAATCCATCTTCCTGTTTCTACAGGTAAATGCATATTTGAAGTTCTAAATTTAACGATAATTTGACTTTTCATTATACAATAGGTATTCGAGAGGAATTAATTACATCACTAAAGTTTAAAACCATTTTTGTACTAAAGTTATACATGATACTTGACAAGTTAATACCAAAACGTTTGCAGAATCTCCCCATTTCACCATAAATCATAAAATTTTGTAAATGCAGAAGTTTTTCAATGGCACTTAAATTTTCAAAACCCCAAACTTCTACTGAATATAAAAGTATAGGCAACACAAGTGAGTCAAAAATCTTCAACTGAAGGTCTCCTGGAAGCTGAATATTTCTTATTTCCTTATGAACAGTAAACATTGCTTTTTTAGACCGTTCAATTAATTTACATTTAGCTTAAAAGTAACTTCCGTTGTAATTAATTAAAACATCCAAATAAGGAAATTCATCGAGAATTTCTATTTCTTCACTACACAATGTAAGATGGAAGGCTGTACGACCTTTTCTCTTTGCAAATATAACAATTTTGGTTTTGTTAGTATTAACATTAGGCTTCCAGGTATTACAATATACTTCAAAAGTATTAAGAGCAGATTGAAGTCCTTCCGCTGTTTCAGACATAATAATGGTGTCGTCTGCATACAGAAGAATAAACAATTTTAAGTACATTTCTATATTTTCACTCAAAGTTTCTATTGTTTGAAGACAATTAACATTATTTTCTGCAAGAAAATCTTCCAGATCATTAAGATAAATTGAAAATAAAAACGGTGATAAATTTTCTCCTTGTTTTACCCCGATATTACAATTGAACATTTCTGACAATTCATTTCCATTTTTGACACAAGATTTAGTATTTGCATACAAATTAAATATTACTTTGAATATCTTCCCGGTTATATTACTCTTTTGAACTTTTCTCCATAGACCAAGTCTCCAAACTGAATCAAAAGCTTTTCTGAAATCTATAAATGAACAGAATAATTTCTTTCCTAGAGAAAAATAAATATAAGTCAATGCATGTAGAATAAAAATGTTGTCAGTGGTGGAATGATTTTTCCTGAAGCCAGCCTGGGAGCAGGTAATTAGATTAATTTCATCAGCCAACTTGTTTAGTCTGTTATTAAATATTGATGCAAAAATTTTCCTAGACATGAAACAAGACTTATAGCTCTGTAATTGTCTACGTCAGATGGATCTCCTTTACGTATATAAATGGGTTCAATAACCCCTATCTTCCAAGAGTCAAGAATACACCCCATCATTATCCCCAGTCCCGAAACAAAAACTCAGACAAACAAGTAATAGGTTAAGTGAAAATGAAAAACCTGTGTTTTTTGATAAGCTTATTTGATGCATTTTCCTAGTGTGTCAGCGAATCTTTTCAAGGTATGCAGAGCAGCGGTCAGACTTGTGTAAACTTAACAGACGGTCATTCACATAAAGAATGACAGACCCTGACCCACTGCACTGAGATAAAGCAGCGTTACCAAATTCCATCGGAATGACATTGCATAATGTTTCGAATGAGTGTTAAATCTTCCACAGTAAAAATTCAAAATAAATGTTGAAAGCTCTAGAAATATTAAAGTCTGCGACGCTGATAATTTGAAGTATTTTTAAATCCCAATGTTTTAGTCTGACATACATAATTCATGACTTTACGTAATTAAAAGTTTGTCTGCAGAGAATTTAAATTATGGAACATACTAACAATTAAGAAACACGCCCAACTACATAATCACATTTACACTTTTACAAACAATACGATTCTGTAAAATCTGCTGTATTGCAGAGAGAAACATGAATAAAGAAATGTAACCGGAAGAAGTATTTTTGTCAATTACAGACATAAAAAGATGTAAAATAGTAGGGTCCGTATGTTTATCATTTATCTAAACACAAATATACAACTTCAATAATATAGAGAGAAATCAAACGCAAGAGAAGGCTGTAGTAAAGTTCAAAATATCTTTTGATATGCATTCCTTGATGCGACAAGTACAAAAAAATAACCTTTCCCTCCGTCAATCCTGCTTAGGGAGAAAATTTCGTTTTGTTTTTGTCGCCTCGGTTCCTGATATTGTCTGAGCCGTATTTTATTTTCCAACATAGTAGTACAAAGATGTCTATATACTATTTTGTATCGTTGATTAACGGCAAGCTGCATGCTGTCTTTCATTTTTATAAAATTTCGTGACATCTTAGCTTGCATTTTATCTTAACTTTGAACTCTGTCGTACAGGAATGAAACCATTCTGTACTTGTAATACCATTGAATGGAAAGCATTTCATAAGCCATTTTAGTAGCACTTAGTATGAGAATTGTGGATGGGATCTTAAGATATTCTAAAGGAAAATAGCAAATACGGTTGTCTTTTTATAAAATGGTGTCATGGTAGACTTCGTTCTTTAATTTTTTAATTTTAATTTTTAATCCGAAGAAACCTACAAAAGTGTTGACAAATGAAATAAGTTCCATCAAACAAATGTGTTGCTTTATATCTGTAATTTGCAATAAAATTGTG